TCGCCTTGAGCTGAAGAGCTGAGGGACAGCGCCCAGGCCCATAGTTCAGGCCCCACGACCGACAAAAAAAAAAAAAATTTCAAGCAGTTAGCTTTGCGCAGAGGCAGTATCGTAGCCAATGAGGCTTATCCGAGCTGATTATTGCTAATTGAAAAATTTGAGCAGTTCACACCTGCAATCCCAAAACAAAGGCAGGAGGATTAGAAATTCATGACCAACCTGAGCTACATAGAGACACCTTACTTCAAAAATGAAGGGAAGGGAAGGGAACAACAGAATGGTAAGACAAAGGAAAAAGGGGGAAACAATGCAACAGCAATATACACAAGACAATATGTTGGAAATGATCTGTACAACTTGGAGGGTAGGAGTGGGGAGGAGGGAAAGTAAGAGAACAATGAGAGAAGGGGTAACAAATTTGACAAGAAATGTACTCATTACCTTACTTATGTAACTGGAACCCCTCTGTACATCACCTTGGCAATAAAAAGGTAAAAAACGATGTTCAATCAGAAAAAAAAAAATGAAGGGGGAGAGATAATCTTTTTCTCAATGGCAGAGAGCCTGCCTACCATGAACAAAAACCTGACTTTGATCTCCAGCACCACACAAAGAAAGAAAATAATCAGTAAAATCCTAATTAAATTATATTTTACATAACAACAGTTCTTACTAATATCTGTCTTTTAGAAATGTTTGTGAATGCCTTTAAGAAGTAGAACAAGCCAGGTACCAGTGGCTTATGCCTATAATCCTAGATACTCAGGATGCTGAGATCTGAGGATCATGGTTCAAAACCAGCCTGGGCAGGAAAGTCTGTGACACTCTTATGTTCAATAAAGTACCAGAAAACCAGAAGTAACACTGTGGCTTAAGTGGTAGAGCACTAGCCTCCAGCTAAAGAGCTCAGGGACAGAGTCCAGGCCCAGAGTTCAAGCCCCACAACCGACAAAAAAAAAAAGGTAGAATACACAGGTTGAGGTTTTTCTTAACTTTCCTGAAAATAATTATTTGTATATAAATTTACAACTTGGAATATTATAGAATAGCTGTGGGATTATAGTAAAATAATTAACTTTTTCCAATTAACATATATAGAAGGAAATCATTGTACTGAAGAAAGCCTTTCCCACTCTTAAAGAAAGTCTACTTTCTTGGGAGTGGCCTTTAACTGTCTTCCAATCATTCTAATCTACTGTTGTAGCTCTCTCAGGAAAGCTGTGAACATTGTTAAAATATTCTACCACTTTGGAAAGCAGTATGGAGGTTCCTCAAAAGACTTCACATAGAACTCCCCTATGACCCAGCAATCCCACTTTTGGGCATTTACCCAAATGTTTACAAACAAGACCACACTAAAGCTACCAGCACAACTATGTTTATTGCAGCATTATTTACCATAGCTAAGATATGGAACCAACCCAGATGCCCCTCAGTAGATGAATGGATCAAGAAAATGTGGTACATAGACACAATGGAATTCTACCTCCATCAGAAAGAATGACATTGCCCTATGCAA